GTTCGGAAAAGCATTTAAGTTCTACTGGCCAAAGCTGAGTACCACATGTTTGTTCTCGCATCTTGCCACGTCGCGTTACACAGACGAAACATAAATATAACTCGATGACATTCTCCCATTCCCATTTCCCAGAGAGGAATAAGCTACAATTACCTCTCCTCCCCATGATATCTGACACGTCTGAACGTCCTCAACCCTTTCCCCGAAATGATTACTGTTAATTATCTGTTTTATACTTTTGCTACTTTACCACAACCTATTTGATTTACTGTACAGGCCTGGGGATGAATAATCGACAAAGATAAAATTGCTAGGAAAATAAGATAGGACGAATTTAGACTAGGGAACCAAAAGGATAAGCGTACTTGTAATAAGAGATCTGATTAGAAGGGTTTCCAAAAAAGACTATTAACTTACGCCACTTGACGGAAATTTTTTGAGCTACCACTCTTCCCGCTAAAACGGCCAGGCCCGTGCAAATACCATGTCCAAGAATTCCACCAGTGATGACTCCGAGAACATTCTGATGGATGAATATGGAACAAAGCAGACTGTTTGAGAAGAATGAGATTTCAAGTCTTAAGTTAACAAAGTAGTTGTAATTACTACAATGTACTATGTCTTAATCGGTGCAAAACAGGATAATTTTGAACTGCAGGTAGGTAGTTTTAGTAAGACTTTTGGAAGAAAGTACTAATCATAGTTAAAGTTGCAACTTTCAGAAAAAGAAAAGCATGGCAGCTTTCTGTTTTGTTTGGTCCCAATCTAGCGAAAAATGACGCGCTCGTAAATGATCAAAAGCTAGCCAGGGATCAGGAGAAGAACCGAACACAGACTTTTCAGTCATCCGGACTGGCGACAGTCTTTAATGGTAAAAGATTGCAGTAATCGGCTCCAGCATAAAAAAGCTTTGATGACTGTAAGTCATCAACGGTTCACATGAAGAAATTGAGAACGAGGACCTCGCGTGGCTGCTTACTCTCTACAATGGACGCTTCTGGTTCAGAGCTACTTCCATTTGAATATTTTACCCCGATAACTGTCTGCAGATTAAAGCACAGACCACATCTTGATGATAAAACGCAAGAAAGCAATGTCAAGGAAAAGGTTAGTTCGATCTCTCATTATTTTTCAATGCATATAATAACACCCGCGACCAGATGCCAACATACAAGTTTCGTTATTGGTAGCGTTGGCCTTAAGGCCCAACGGACTGAGCAATTCAGAGTAAATACGAAAGCCGCGAGAACCCGTACTTAGTTATGGCTTTATCTACTTTTAGGTTACTTGCAGACTGCCACTGTACATCGAAGCTACCAATAATAAAAGTTCCAACGTCATCAAGTCCATCCTCCCCGTAAAGACAGAAGAGATGGGGAGGAATGAACCAGCTCACTGAAGAGCTAAAAAGTCATGTGTCGTTCACAATTAACACCTAGAGAGCACAATTGAATGACTGACGGGGCGACTAAACAGAGCTCTATTGGGCGTAGTTGTCAGAACGACTAAAGTGTGTGAAGTTAAGCAAATCGCGATGTACAAAATTTACGATACTGCACTACCCAGCAAAGGACACGTAAGGCTTATGTGTAAAGGTCGTGTGCCCCGATTTCCACTGAACGCCCTACTGGCATTGCTTTCAGAAGTGCAAAAATAACCCATAAAATTGTCCCAAACAAACAAATAAGTATTCAGTAGCCACAGCCAACAGTTTACGAAAACGCACCTCGCGTGCAGCCAGCACAATAGTAGTTAATTGGGACCGATCACCCCACTCGGCCAAGAAAGTCATCAAAAAAGCCTCTGCGAAAATGGGCGACAGAACCTTTCGCAACAAGGCGCGTATACGAACATGGCTCGACGACCCTAAGTTGACGTCAGCACTCCCAATTTGCTGTTCAACCTCTTGGTACTCCTCGTTCGCATCGCCAGGAGACATTGAGTATGCTAAAACGATGATTGTGAGTAAAAGTGCAGACCATCATACAGCATTTTGGCCCCAAATATAATAAAGAGGGCCCCGGAGAGATAAAATGTGTATACTCTCGGGAGGATTTCCGTAGCATACCCAAGAAGAGCTAGGTGGGTAGGGTAAACAAGGTCAATCACTACCTGAAAGGACAGTCATGGTAGTCAGAGCGAACATGGCCCCTAGATACACCACCAGACGAGGATGGTGAATGGAGAGTATGGCAGCAATGAAGAAAGTTTTATCTCCAAGCTCCGATATTACAATAACGTAAATGGTTGCCATAAATCCCGAGAGGAACCGCGCAGTTGCATCGCTCGCGGAATCAGATGACAAGGCCTTAGGAGGCTGCAAAAGGCCCGGACCATCTTGTACAGGATTCGGAATTTTAACAACGGCAGACTGTGTTACAACAACCACGACCACCAAATGGATTAGAATCAACACCACCCTAGGCCACCCGATCATCACCAAGGTCGTAACGACAAGCAAGTACTTACGTTTTCCGCCTCTAATCCGACCTAGTAAAAGCAAATTTCAGGGGAAGTTTTATTACCATATTGTCTGTGGACATTTACACATACGCATCAGGAACATAAATTTTTCTTTCACAGCAAAAACATCAACTCTCCTTCGGATTATTCTTCCTGTCGGCTAGGTTCATCCTAAACTACAACACATTTGCACTAAGTGTGCTGACGACGAGTTCCCTAAAACCATCCGCCCACTGTTCGAGGGTGGCAAAAACCGCAATGTCCGTAGTGTACGCCATCAAGCGTGCGTTTATGGACTTTAACGAAGATGCTTTCTCTAAGACATTCGGAACATTCGTCCGGCCGCATTTAGAGTACGGCATACAAGCTTGGAGGCCGTGGGCTGTTGTGGATCAAAACTGCCTCGAAAGAGTCCAGAGGAGAGCCACGAAGATGGTTAGGGGTCAAAGCTCCTTTCCTTATGCAACCCGCCTAGTAAATCTAAACCTCTTTCCTTTGAGTTACAGGCAACTTCGCGGAGATCTCTTGCAAGCCTTCCGCATTGTTAAGGGGTTGGATTGCAGTCTGGCCTTCGAAGACTTTTTTGAATTTGCTACCACGACCAACCTCCGAGGTCACCCGTTAAAACTGCGCACTCAGCAGGCACGGCTGGATGTGCGGAAGTTCTCCTTCGCGGTTCGGGTGGTCAAACCATGGAATTAGCTTCCCGCAGATGATGTGATGTCACCATCTATACAAATTTTTAAGAAGAATCTGGACATATTTATGTTCCGAAATGACCAAGAGCGATGAGAAGTCGAGCTCACCCCTGTAACTCCTTCTCATTTTGTCCCACCATTATGGGCGTGTTCGAACTATTTCAGCCCAGAACATCTATCTGTACACCACACATTTTTTACGTTGCAAATAGGGTACTCAAAGGCTTACGCCTATTTCCCTCAATAAACTGAACTGAACTGAACTAAGTGACATTCCCAATTTAAATTAATAATTTATTCGAATCTGCATGATAATAATTTCCCCGGCCGTAAGCATTTACTGCACTCAATTACCATGGAATGTTTTTGTATTATGGCTGAAAAATTTTATGCATTAAGGACTTGTCATTCACCAGCTAACTAGGTTCATCCTAAACTACAAAACTCTTGCACCAAGGGACATTCCCATTTTTACAATAAGTATTCAATCGAATCCGCATGATAATAGTACAAGTATTTTTTCTGAATATAATACGTTAGGCAATTGTCCAAAGGATCCCTCCTAACCCATCCGTAAGTACTTACTGCACACCACTACCCTGGGATGTTTTTGTATTTTGACTGTAAAATGCTATGCATTAAGGGCTTTTCATGCCCCAGTAATCGTTTTCAGATAGAAAGCACTGGTCCCTGGAAGACACCTTGTGCATCTAACACGTTCGAAAGTTGGATTGACTGTAGATGCACAAACGGATGAAGAGAAAACACTATTTTTATGATAGGAACGAAGAGGAAGATGCGATTTGTCAAAAAGAAGTACCTTAGCTGAATGTTGCGGATTCTTGCTAGAAAGTATAGTAAGAGGCGGTCGCAGATAAAGGTACGGGGGGTACGAGAACTGCACCAGTTGTTTTACAACCACGTGGATACATTATTTAGCAGCACATTTGTTTATCGATGGGACTCGTATTTGATGCGAAGATTGCATCTTAGTACACGTCCGAGTCGTTAATCGTCGTGATTTCATCAATGTTATTGACTCTTCGCCTGATACTTACTCCACCATCTGGCTCGCTGTCACTGCGATCGTTGGTCGGCAGCGCCCTTCCCGTGTGGCTAATTGTTTTGCCCAGGCAAAGTCTCGGCGCCGTATGTTGAAACGAGAGGTGATTGCCACT